TGCCGTTGGCTTTGCAGGTAAATATTCAACATAATTAATTATCTATTTTTTATATTAAATTCTATATATAATAATTGTAACTGTTGCAGATATGGATATACGAGACTGTTCCCATATTGGCTGGCCGGTACGCAAGGAGAGTGGGGACGAGTTGCCTTCGGATTTATCAATGGAGAGCACAGGACAAGCCATCTGCAAAACACATATCAGCTCTCCCGACGATCCTGAGGTACGTATTATACATTTTGTGATTTATATTGTATGTCTTTGTAAAATAACAATACATGGTCATTAACTAGGTAAGCTGTCAATATGTTAGGTTGAAGTTCTCACTGAGTTGACACCATCGATAGAAGAGGAGGGTCAGAGTTACATGCGTTGCCTGTCTATTTCGGCCGCGTCAGATGATCAGAAGCCCGAGTCCATCATTGATCGGGATAGGGTATGTTCATTGAGTATAATATGTTGATTATCGTTTTGATTTTTAGAGCCCGTTTGGTACCGATTAAAATCCAATTAAAATTGAAAATGTAGTCGTTATTGGGCCCCACTCGTTTAATAGAAGTCAATAATAACGACTAGTTTTTCAATTTTAATCTGATTTTAATCTCTATCAAACGGGCTCTTAAATTAAATTAATAATTCGGATTGTTGATTTTTTTTAGGAGTGCCGTCCAGTATCACCTCCACCACGGAGATCACCTCCGTCGTCGTGGGCCTCACCGCCGCTGAGGGCCTCACCGGTGTCGTGGGCCTCACCGCCGCCGATGGCATCACCACCACCGATCAGGTCTCCTTCTCCCCCGTCTACTGATCTGTATGACCGTCTTACTGAATTTATAGCGGGTCAGATGGGCGCGATGCGTCAAGAGTTTAGACAACAGATGGGCGAGATGCGATCAGAGCTCATGGGACAGATCAATGATGTATATAATGATGTTGGAGCTTTACGTCACAACGTGGTAGATCTGCATGGCAAGATAGGGGACCTTCAGACTGAGGTCGTTGCGTTACAAGGCGACATAGCAGCCCTGCGAGGGACTCGCAGTCATTGGGATGGAGGGGGTGCCGACAGAAGCTCGGGGGGGAAATGGCGGAGGCGGTTGACGTAATTTTTGTGTCGGAGGGGGCGACGAAGGGGAGAAAGGATGCGAAGCATGCTGTTGACAAATTAGCCATTCTACGGGATACGATGACGGCGAGACAAGGAGTATTGTAAGAATTTACAAGTTTTAAATTTGAAATTTTAGTTTTTAGCTATATGTTATCGAACTAATATATTATTATTTACTTGTAGGGGCGACTGTGCTATATTCGCGGTAAAGCATATGAAATTTTTGAGCATGGTCGCAAGGTTGATACAATAAATCAATCTTTAATAGACATGCGGATGTTGAAGCTTGTTTGTGATTTGTATGAATACAAATGTGATCCTTAGCACATTGTGTATTATTTTATTAAACATTTGATTGTTTATTTAATATTTTATTAATTATAATTAATTATTATATAAACCATTAAATAATTAAATATTTAATAAAACAATTAAATAAACAATTAAAATAAGGAATTTAATTATAAATTTTTCTTTTACAATGTAATATTAAGTAAACAATTAAAATAAGCAATTTAATTATATTGAATATTTAACGACAATAAATAAAAATATATTATTTAGTTATAAATATTAAACTATTACATAATATTACACATCCGTTGAATTGTTATGTAAAGAAATAAGACTTGTACAAAATTAACGAGTATGCCCTGTTGTGTCGCACTTACGATGTTGGAGAAATTTTTCTGTGAATGGTAATCTAGACGTACGTCCCGGAGCATGTGGTCCGACTTCGGGTGACAACAAATTATTAAATGAGAGAATATGGTCGGGAACTTTCTACTCGGCTTCATTTGGCAGAAAAATATCGTTTCGACATACGTCACTCTTCAATAATCAGTCATGTAATAATTACTGTATAAGGTGTGTGGTGGAAATTCTCTATGTATAGCCACTGCATGCGTACACGGAAAACATTCCAACTGAAATTTTCTACACGTGCATGTGTTATCATTCAAGTTCACGATATATTACTTCCACATCTCATGGAGAAGTGAAACTGATCCAATGGTTTCACCATACCTTTTTCACCACCTCTAGAGTTTTGAAGATTTTATCTTCCTGAGCCGGAGTCAGCACACTTGTGCAATTTTATGATTCTTCACGTCGGTCGTGGAATCACTGTTGCAGCTTGTTACGAATTTGCTCAATCATTGCGAGAATTGGTAACTTTCGATCTTTCTTGAATAATGCATTGAACGACTCAGCATTGTTCGACATCATCATGTTGTATTGACGTTCTGTAAAATGTGATCGTGCTCAATGTTCGATCCCCATCTCTGTTAGATAAACCCATGAAGCATGTGATTTACTTTTTATTTCGACCATGAACTTTTGAAACTCTTCAAAATTGTACGCATCTACAGCTCTCCTAAACAATGCAATGATACCACTGCCCCGAAACTTCGTCTTGAGGTTACCCTGTAAATGGTACAAACAATAACTGTGATGTGTCTTGGGAAAGATTTCAGCGATACCATTTATAATTGACTGCTCCCGGTCTGTTACGAATGCAAGATTCTCAATGTCTCCAATTACTTCTCTCAATTTCGTGAAGAACCAACGCATCGCTAAATCATTCTCTCCATCGACTATACCGAACGCAAGAGAGTAAATTTGGATGTTGAGATCTTGACACGTAACAATAATCAACTTGTCTTCGTATCTAACCTTAAAGGTTGTACCGTCGACTAGAATTACGAGTCGCATCGGGTTTTGAAATCCTCGAATGCACTGTCCAATGACCATGAAGAAATACTTGAAGCGATTCCCGTCATTCGTATCAATATAAAATACTGATACAGGACTAGTTTTCTCCATGTTATGGCAATATCTAGTCAATTTAGCGTAACTTTCCTCGGCCGAACCGATTAAGTCCTCCAATGCGCATTTTTTGGCCTTCCAGGCCTTCTAATAGCTCATGACCACCTCGTACTCTCGACGAGTGTCACTGATGATGTTCGAAGGTCTGTAGATCGTTCGTGGATCCTGAAACTTTTGCATTATTTGTCGACCAATGAACCATGTTCGGGCCTGCTTGTGATCATTTCGACGAATACCCACTTCGCAAGTATGTTCCCGTGAATACTTACGAATTATAAAGAAATCATTCGTATCAATTTTCGTCGTTCGCAAATGCCAATGGCAACTGTCGTCAATGCAGATAATTGTGTACATCGACTTGTTCGATTTTTAAACTTTAAACTCAAAATTGTGTTTCAAAGCAATCCGGTGCACAGCTTCCTACAAATCTTTCTTTGTTCGAACAGTTGTTCGACATATAAATTTTCATCATAAGGAACTGTACGGGAACAATTAGAGATACGTTTACTCATCCCAGCTTATGAACCCGACTCATGTCTTCGATGGGATAAAGCAATTAAATCCTCATTCGTAAATTCATTTTCATTCTCATTGTCTTGAACTATCGAGAGAATTCTGTACGTAACGGTGAAATCATGGTGAGGAACAACTGTACCGGGAATAACCACATCATCCCCACGCGCTATCTCCATTGTATTCCAAAAATCATTCACATTACGATCCCCTCCATCGAGATCTCCGTGTTCACTATCGAGGACATTCTTTTTTACTAAAGTTATGCAAAGAGAAATAGTCATGCGAACTTGGCTTAATGCAATTAAAGCCTTGATTTCATTTTCATAAGTAACCTTTGTAGGTGGAACTGGAATGAATGTATACTCGTTGAATAGAAATCTCAATTTCATGTCGTACTAAGAGTGATCGACATTGAGCATGTTCTGTATCTCACGGTACATTTCTGCATACGATATACTCGATGTCATTACAATTACAATTGTGCCATGTATTTCACATGTCCATTTTCAGACCCATGGACAATTTTCATTCTCTTTAAATTCACCAAAGTAAAGAATCGGGATTGTAACCGAACCCATATCTTCTGCTTTAGAAAACATATTTTGTTAAAAAAATAATAATTAAGGGAAAAAATGCATGCCTAGTGGAAAATTAATTTAAACTAAGTGGAAAAACCCGTGGGCCGAGATGACTCAGACGGCCCACAAGCTCGGGCTTCGACGCCCGCACGTCCGGGCATGGACATGCCGACGTTTGAGTTATGCAGGCCCGGACGACCCGTCCGGGTTTTTCCATCCGGGCAATTTACAGATCGTAAATTTGTCTGAAAATCTCATGCAGATGAATTTTTTTCTCGTTTTTGTTAAAAAAGGATTATAAATCCATTTAAGATCGTAAAATTTTCATATACCTATGTCGAAATAAGATTTAAAGATTAATATAATGTACTAATTTAACCGAAACCAAATTGAAAATACATAAATATACTTATCATTTCATTGATAGCCGTGAATAATATTTCCTTATTGAGCGTTTGATAAATTTATCTATTTTCAAGTTTGAAGCAAATGAAAAATGAAACTGTTTTTATCTGTATTGGAGTAAACAAATAAAGAAAATGATTTAGTTTTGAAATTTTAAGTGGGAAGTGTTTGAAATTTTTTATAACTTAAAAATGGTATTATTGTTTTTTAAACAATACTATATTTTTGTAATTGTATAACATTTTAAGGGTAGTTTAGTCTTTTAAGCCTTAAAATGCTATTGTGGTGAATGTAAAAAAAATTGATCAATGTGAAAAATAGCATATTTGATAAAGCCAAACTAAAAGGTATCCCAAGGGTGCTAGCAATAGGCTTGTTGGATTAAGAGTTAGTTTGACATGATTTTTGTTTTTATTTTTATTTCGTATAGAAAAGCTTCTAGAAGAAGAAGTTTTAATTTTTGTTTTGAAACTAATTTTCAGCCCCTGTTTGGGGTTCAAAATACATTTTTTCAGAATTCATTTTCAATCATGCATTTTTTAATAAAATAATATTTTTCATCGCATTAATAACTTTTTTTTTACTTTTTAAACATATATTTTCATCATATCGCTATTTAAAATACATTATTTTCTCAATAATATTAATCAAACACACCCTTAAAAGATCTTATTTCGAAAGTTCTGTTAAATGAAGTTATATGGGACTAGTTCTTTTAAATGAAGTTATATCGGACTAACTTTTTCTAAAAACTCTTTTAATTAGCAAAAATACTTTCATAATATTAGTCAAACGAATTTAAAAGCAATTTTTGGGTATTATAAAAATTCCTTTTGGCTTTTTAAGAAGTCATATCAAAATCAAATTGGCCACGCACTATATAACTGGCTTATTTTCTCGATAATCCCCAACCTATAGTGTTATTGTAGCATTAGGACCTATCATTACATTCTTGGCAAAATTAAGTAATGGGGTGGGTATGAGATGGGTCGATCATTCACACTTTCGTTCTGTCGGGATTTTTGTTCCATGTCTCTATACTCAATTAAAGCGGGACGGGTTTGGGGTGGGACCCCTACTCCATTTATCGTTTAATTTATTTTTTTTTACTTTTTTTTATATCTTTAGTTAGTAAATATTATTACTTTGTTCCAATTTGTTAAGCGCAACAACTTATATTTTTCTAAAAAAATGATGATAAATCTATTATTTTTATTTGATAAAAAATTAACTTTAAACAGAATGAGTAGCGAGACGTGGACTATATTTCCTGTATCCGCTTCGAGACAATGATCTTTGCTCCATCCCTGTCTCATTTATCCGGTTAGACGGGTAATTTTCTCCCCCATTTGAGGCAGAAATTCACAATTATCGGGTTCAACGTAATTTTTTCCATCCCTAAAAATCATTCTCATTTACACCTTTGGTTGAGAAATTGGTCATTTCCATCAATTTCAGTTAAGCTGACGGTTAAAAAATCAACTTTTTGATTAAAAAGACACAGTACCCCATACTTTAAGTTAAACCACTAGAAAGATAATGAAACAAAAAACAAGCCACATACAAAATGAAAAAGATCCAACCCCAACCATCCCACCTCTTTCCCTCCACCTCGCCGGCCACTATCACACCATTATTGGAAAAATTCCCGGCCGGATTGTGTTAAAAATATAGGGAAAGATACTTTGAGTTGTTGCAAAAGAAAGCCTCTCAAACCCTTCTTCAATTTACGGCTAGTTTTTCTTTATTTGGTCAACCGTGATTGTGAATGCAGATTGGCTGACCGCTGACGGTTTGAAGAAGATCATAGACATATCTTTTTTTTTTTTCCTTTTACTAAAATCTTTTGTTATTTCTCATTTTTACCTTGTTTTTTGATTTATAGGGCGTGTTTGTTTTTTATTCTCAAATTTTACAGTAAATTAATTCTCATTTTCAATCACACATTCTTCAATAAAATAATATTTTTCATCATGTCAATAATTTTTTATTCTTTTTCAATCACATATTTCCTATCGTATCACTATTCAAAAATCAATTTTTCTTCCAAAAATCTCTACCAAACAAGCACATATTTTGTTTACGCAAAAGTAAGGGTGTAATTCTCTATTTAATAAAAAAAAAATGACTTTTAACAGTAAATGGAAAGGACTAATTTCAAAAATAGAAGTGAAAATGAGGAAGTTTCTATCACGAGAGGAGGGAATATTTGGAGTTAAATATTTCATTAGTGATTGAATTTATACCTTTACCATACTATACTCGCTGAACTTGGAAATATTTTCGAACGATCTCTGTATTATACTTCAATCAAACTTTACTAACTAAACTCTAAAATGTTTTCGAATGATCATTAAACTTTCACACGTTGCACTTCATCACTTCCTTACCTTGTTCAATTAGTCATTGAACTTGTACATCTGTTACGTTTTTCTCACTGAACTTTAAAATATTTCTGAATGGTCATTAAACTTCATAATGTTTTCGAGTAAAATTGATTTTTTGTGAAATTAGACCTAAATTAAGAAAATAAAATAAATATTGACTAGATAATGAAATTCTCAATCTAAGAAGAAAATATAGATATTGGTCAATAAAATATAATTTCACTAGTCGTAAAAAGTTATATTTTAAGGATAAAGATGAATGCCTGCTAAAATTGACATTTGAATATTGGCTTTGTTTTTCAATTTTTGGACAGTTGAATTAAATAAGTAAAATTCAGTGACAACTCGAAACCATTTTAAAGTTTAGTTCGTGAAGCGTAACGGAATATAAATTTAGTGAATAAAACGTGATGAATGTATAAATTCAGTGAGTAATGAAACATGACAAGTCATTAATGAGGCGTAACGTGTTAAAATTTAGTGATTATTGAAAAAATATTTTAAAGTTTACTGACTAAAACTCGAATATTTTTGTAACGTTAGGTACTTGAGGGGGTTGTTTGTAATTTGCTCTCCATTCGCCGTTCGGAGCCTCTGAGAGTATTCGGAATTTTGCCGCCACCTCTTTGCAGAAATTGTAGAAGGAAAGATGTTGGAAGTGAAGAGCTTAAAGAAGACAGTGGTTCCTAAATCCCTCTTCGACCATCCGTCTCCTGCCAATCTCCAGTCCACTCGTCTTGCCCTCCATGTCACTCTCTTTTACTTTGTTGAAAATCGAAATTTAACAGACATCCCTCCACATTATTTATGTATATTTGGAGTGTATGTACTTATTTTTTAAAGGTTTTTGTGGGTGCAGATTGATGGAGATGATTCTTCTTGCTGGGTTTACATTGCTTCTGGTTCCCGCATTTACAAACTTCTGGTATGTATCAAAACTAACAGAGAGATGTCAAGATTGGGTCGGTTACTTTGGGAAGTGAGAATTGAAAACAGTAGGAATGGAAGCACAGAGTTCACGATTGAGGATTTTTACACTTCAATGGGTTCTTTGGTAGAATTAGGAATGAGTGCCAATGGAAGTGATTTCTTGATTCTCATTGTAAAATGATATCAAACGATGATTTCAGAGGGCTATTTGATAATGCAAAATGTAAAATTAGACACTGACCACAAATTAACAGGAGGTAAAGGGAAAAATGTTCAATTAGTTTTCCAAAATGGTTCTGAATAATGCCATTAAGGCGGTTCTCTTGTTACGTTTCCCTTCTTTTTGTGCTAATGGTGTGGTAACTTGTCACTTTTTACTAGAAATGAGATCATAATTGGGATATAATGGACATATGGATGGGGTTTATAGTGGTTTGGTAGAATACTATTGTTTAATCTTTTTTTATTTGGTAGATTTCGATGGAAGATTCTTTGGTTGGTCGAGGAAAAGAGAGTCTCCTAATCCCTGAACAAACTCAGGTACACACGTTGCAGACTTCATTGAAAGTCACAGGTAGAACTTAGAAAATGTAACTTTTCATTCAACTCACCAGTAAAGTGTAAATGAAGGTTCTGGACTCAGCATTGGTGAAACGCTGCCCTCATCGATCCGAAATTCAGAGTATAGTGCTTGTTGAAAGTGAAAGTGAGGATCTATTTATTATATGAAATATTGAAACCTTTTTCTGAGAACTTACTTTATCAAGTTACTTTACGAGCATAATTAGGGGTTTCATTTTTTTCTGCTTGTAGTTATTACCCAGAAAAATAAATTGGGAACGGATGTTAAAATTTTTAGTATTTAACTTGAATTATTCTTAATATTTATAGTAAGATTTATCATATAGCATTTTAAATTGAAGATTACCATTGAAGACAGAGAGAAATATTTGCAATCGATTTTATCTTAATATTTATGGAAATATTTGTTACCTCATAGAAACTACTGTCTATGGATATTAGAGAACAATTGATGCATCAGTATGTGTGCCTACACCGTGTACCCCAGCCCCACACTAAGGACAGAATAATTAGTAATTTTCCATTTTTTGCAGTGTCATGTTCGTAGGATATAATTCCTTTCCTTAATGTTGGTTCTACTTCTGCAGGCTTGGGTCGCTCGTTATTGGGAAGCGTGGACTCTTATGGTCATCTTATTGTTTCTCAATTGGATTCTAGTGGCGCAGGTACTTGTTCGCTAATTCCTTGTTATGGTTTTAGTTCGTTATTTTTATTTATTTTCGCTGTTTGCTTCCTTGTTCAATTATGCTTGTGCAGTATAATTCAACTTCTGGACATCAGTCTTCTGCCATGGACATGTACATAGATGTGAAGTTGTTAATATTTCATGCTTTGATTACATAGCGATTTGCCTGACTTTCTTCTCCTCTTTGCTTGTTTCGGATTTTTCCCATCTATATGCTCATGAAATTTACTTTGATGTCTTCAAAACTAGTCGTGTAACACCCTCAACCATTCATGTGTAAAGCTAAGAACAATTATTGTGTGCTGCGATCTATTACAAGTTATATGATGCTTAATTTATCTAGTCATATATGCATCAGCACGAAGTCATCTGAGGAAGCATTGCTCATGCACAGTTTATATTAGGGCATAATTGGTTCGGGCTTTTCTACTGGGCTAAATATTTTGCACCCCCTGGTTCCAGATGTTGACGGGCTTAGTTTTTCGGTGTCACCTCGAGATTATGGTGTTGGAGAAGGCAGTTGGACAGGACTTTGTTTTAATCCAAATCAATGGTTCACGGTATTTAACTACCTATCTTGGACCTATGTTCAATTTTAGTGTACTTGAAGTTGTTCATATTTTCCTGCTCCATTCGAAAATTTGTAGTATATTTGCACTTGCTTGTATATATATTCTTGTCAACATCTATGTTTACTTTATCCTTGCTTTTTGCCTCTTGTTTAATTATTCTGTTTGGATATTTAGTTGCACCACTTATGAATGGTTGAAACGTTTGTAGATGCTTTGGATATGAGAATTAGAAGTGAAAGATGAGATGGAAGAGCAATTTGATATTATGTTAATATAATGTCAAATTGATCAAAATGAAGCTACTCAGTACTTCAAACATATTGTACCTAGAAAAGTATGCTGAGATAGGAAGTCTGCATGCTTGTTTTCACCATATTCCCAGACTTGATTGAGCTTAGTCAGACGACTGCTTACTAAATTTTGTTGTATGCTTTTACCAAATATTGCTAATCTAATCAAACATTCCTGTAAACCCAATTTTTCTGCCATATCTTCATTCTCTTTGCCTTAAACACGCACATTACGACTTTATTAGCAGTTTACAACTATCTTGTTACATTGACTGCATACCTTTTCTTTCTCGGATGAAAGAATGTAATGTGCCTCTAACAACAGTTAGCATTTCAATACATCTGTTCCTCTTTAGTGCTCATTCTGAAAAAATAGCATTGTTTTTTTTTCCATGGACTTTCTTGTTCCTATAGAGTATTTAAAGACAAATAGCAGTGAAGATGCTCCAAACTTTTATTTGGTTTGCTATTTAATATCTTTAAGTATTACTCACCTCTTCATCATAGCATTTTTAGTTGAAGTATTGATTTTCAATGCAGATGAAACCCAGAAAATTAACTTGCTATCTTGTCATTTGGGATTCCTATTGTCCATACTAATTTTTCAGGGACAATTATTTTTGTTCTCTGTATGAAGTGACTCTTAGTCGAAAGTAGTCCACTCCGCTGACTAGATATTTTTACTTCAGGCAGCTGTGGCTCGCAGCTTCTGCAAAAGTATTGATGTTTACGACCAAGATATTCATCTCCAAACTTTACGTTTGTGAGTACTTATTAACTTCTATATGCTTGGCCTATGTTGTTTTGGTAACTCTACTCCTGCCATCTCTCTCTTCTGAACTTCCCGTTATGTTGCTTAAAATGTATTGACACTCTGTAAACAAATAGTATTAAAAACCTAATACGAAAGTCTCCACAGGTATCCTTATTCTACTGCATAAGAATGTTTTTTGGTGCAGTAGGTTTAGCCTGGCTGTTTAGAAGGGCCATTGTAAATTCAAATGGATTTTTCCAAAAAACTGAAAGTGAGAAAAAATACTTAATTTTGAAGTACTTTCATTTACCCCACCAGCATCGTTTAAGTAGGTCTAATACTTCTATGTTGCAGTTATTTTTAGTGCATAGGATGAATCATTGAGTGTTTTATTTTTCTTGCTGTGCAAATTACTGATATAAAATTATCAACTGGCAAGTGAAATCACAATGGTAGACAATCTACTTCTGATATTTGATTTTATCATTATTTTTCTTACTGAGGGTACCTAATTCCTTGTAGGCAAACTGTCATGGAAGTCTTTTCCTGTCATTTGTTTTTGGCAAATTACTTGGTGGGCCTATGAATATTATCCCATTTTCGATCATTCAAATTTTGTTGGCAATGTTATGGGAAGTCAGGGTTGTTTGAGCTGTTGCAATAGCGAAACTCCATGGAACAAATTATTTATATTTCCTAAAGGGATATTAAGACTGTCAAACTACCTGACAAATTAACTCTGTGCGATTTATCTCATTATTTGCATCAGGCTGGAATGCGAGATAAAAGACAAAAAGTTATTATAGATTTTCATATTTTTTATAATGTAGATGTTAGTCTTAAAGTATAATATTCCTACATTTGCATATTCTTTGCTAAGAAGTTGCCAAAAAATTTATTCGATATTCTAATGTGTAAATTTCTTTCCAAATTTTTATATTAGATGATATAACCTTTGCTGATAAGGTCGCTATATGTTGCAGATTGTGGTATCCAACTTCACTGAATTTTATGCAGAATATCAGTGGAAGTGATAGTTCTCTATTAGCCGTCACAGAAGGTTCCCAGGTGTTTGTTATAAAATCTTTTGCATGTTTGATTTATTTGTGCAATAATTATTAATGAAGTCATTTATTATCTATGCCAACAGTTAAGTATATGGGACTTGCGAATGAAAGAAAATGGTGGCTGTGTGCATAGAATATGCGGATCTGTTGGGGATGTCTTATATGCAGTCTGTAATTCTTCATGTGGTAATATTGCAGCTGCTGGAGCTGATCGCACTGTGACTGTTTATGATCCTCGCAGGTCTGTTGGTTTTCAAGGCATATCCTGATTAATAATTGTTCTATCATTTCTATGTCGTGATGCTATCTTTTTTCACCACATCATCATACTGGGTTGAAGATGTCGTTTTACACGCACATCTTGTATTTTCCTCCTGTCTTACAGAGTAATAAGTCATTTTCCTGAATCTAGCTTTCGGTATTTATATGGGAACAGAGGGGAAACAGGGAGAAAGGGCCGGAAACAAAAGTGTATATTGACTTTTTCAAAATTATGATGCTTATTTCTTAGTCGTCTGCCAACATGTTCCCACCGTTTTCTGGGGCAAGATTTTTTCTTAAAGTTAGACCTCTTAAAACTCCGTGCATGCATGCAAGTGTGGGTGTGATTCCTTCATCTATTGAACACTCAAATGCTCATGAGTCATGGCAATGGAAGTTTCTTCCCAACTTCTCCGATTGCTATATTCTGCCTGAGCTCGTGGAGATTCTTAGGGATGTCTGTGGGCTTGGGGGCTCGCCAAATCCTCTTAGCTTCACACAAAAAATTATGGTATCCCCTACTTTTTAGGCCTTTAGACAGAATTTGTGATGAACATTTAGCCTGGCAAAATATAGTCAGGGCTTGGGCTATGGATTTAGCCATGGTATGAAATAGCGTGGCCCAAGCACATTAAATAAATTATCTTCAAGTTCCTATTAGATAGAAGCTTATTTCTTAAGATTATATTTATGCAAGTCATTTTGATTAAGAATTTCTTATTTCTGTAATTCTAAAACACTTTAAATACTAAAATTAATAAGACAATTCCCACAAGCCAGCCCATAGAAAGCCCAACACAGCCTAGACCAACAAAGTCCATATGTTAAGTACTAGCCAGGCTGAGCTTCCTCTCACCCATTCGACTCCTTGGTGAATGGTGTCAGCTCAGCTGAAAGCCGCCTTAGCCTCGACATCCCTAGTGATTTTTATGGTTCTTGCTAATAAAGGAAATATTATTAAGGAAAATAAATGGTACTGCTTTTTTAGTTTAATTTTATCAATTGCTGACTCACAGACTGGTCTTTCTTCTAAATTTTGAGTGCAGATGGGCAGCATTGTCTAGATGGCTGAACTGCTCAAAGTATGAGGTCAGTTGAAATCTTTAATGAGTTTCAGAACATGTGAATTTTGCCATCAATGGGATTTTAAATCTGTGTAAATTTTATTTCAGCAACCCTTACCGTGTATAATGATTTTTTCGAGTGCCAGTTTGAGAGAATGGTTACCTTTTCTATTAGTTTTCTTTAGCATCTGTGTTTCATGACATTCCCTATTCTAAAGCTAATTAGTTTGTATATACTGCCTGGATAATATTCCTCTTAAATTACATTCACCGTTTTCAATTTTATACTGCAGATAACTGGACTTGCTTTTTCATCACTTGACCCTGACTACATTTATGTGCAAGGAGTAGATTATGAGGTAAATCCTTCAGGTCTTTTATTCACATTATCTGATGAACCTTAAATTTAATAAATATATATGTGATGCTTACCGCTCACTGTTTAATATAGTTAAATAATATACCTTTTCATCATTTTATATTTGCCACATACGAAAAAAATGAAAAGTTTGTCTTCATATTTATCATCTTCAAACTTTTTAGTGATGCATTTGTGTTGTGTATTATAAGCGTTCTTCTCTCGTTTGTTTTCTTCTCTGATATGTTTTTGGAGTTTAAACAACCATAGATAAGAACGTCTGGAATGGTTTCTAGAAGATAACCATATGTGATATGTCGATGTCCAATGCGTGCTTGATGTTGGAAAAATGTTTATTATTTAGATTAGAGAAAAAAAGGTTGTACCATTCCCTACAAAATCACTGTATATTAGATGTCCAATGCATATGCCTGATGTGCACATCTTTGCAGGTTCTATGTGGACAATGGAAACAAAGCAAGAAGGCATTTTCATTTAGAGGAGATTCAAACTGGCTTGGATTTAGTAAGGTATCATATTTGTCACAATGAAACTTACGAGATAATATATGCAAAAATTTTAAACGTACATACACACATACGTTCATTGTAAATTTCAATGAAAGCCACATTGAACTACTCTAACCATCTAATATGTTCGTACATGTTCAATATCTACGAAAATGATTGTCAGCGTTTCACTAATTCCGAGAGGGGATTGGATTCAAGTGGGCAGTATCAAATTAGGAAAAATAGCTAAAATCTTGTCTATTGTACTGTTCAGTTTTGTCTAATATTGCATATCGTGTATAATTGGCCAGAGAAACAGAAGTTGCTATATATACTAACATGATCATTCTTGGTTTGTTCAGTTTTTCATAAGTTGAATGGGCCGGTTGATATTAACTATGCAGTGTTTGCTAGTTTTTTTAAGTGTTTATAAGTTGTTGGTGCTTTGGAATGTGTTGATATGGTTGACCAGCTTAACATATAATTTAGGCTTTATCAAACATGCTCTAGTTAGAAATCAGGTTGCATAATATAATTTTTGAAACTATTTTTCCTCTTGAGGGCAGGAATTGTACTACTAACTCATTTCAAATGTTCCTTGCAGTGTTCCAATAGAGATGTTGTGGGGGGATGGTGTGATTCAGGTAGCATATTTATTGCTGACGTGTCACGAGATAATGGAATTGGCTCGTAGAAAGTCATCTCTAGAGAAATACCATGTTAAATGCTTCAGCCATCCTTTCGTCCAGTCAGATGTTTTCCTCTAATTTCTGAGACTGCACTATTTTCGTGAATGGGTGATGACGGGATTGCATGTCGTGTTCAGGATTTCTCCTGATGTTTGTAAATCTGTGAGCTACCAAAACTTTACTTTTCCCCTCACATGTTGAACATTCTTTTCAAGATTTTCCTTAAAAAAAGATCTTTTTGCTTTTAATGTTCATACTGTTTTTTTATTAGTGTTACACTCTTGTGGTGTTTACTTCTATCTGCAGAAATCTATTGCTTTAGCGAGTAATTTTTGGCTTTTATGGTGTGAACACCCATGGTTCTTTTAACCCTTCACGCTTTAACAAAAAATAACCAGATTTGACATTTAGATCCACCCTTATCTGTACATAACTCTCAATGGAAGCCCAACAAAAAATTTAAATGCAAGAGGGATTAAGGATGGTAATGGAACGGGACACGACTCGGGCAGTCGGGCAGCCATCTCTATCCTGTCCGTCTTGTCCGGGATTTTTGGGAGGTGAGACAAGGATTAAAATATTCTCATCCATCGATGTTTAATTATTTATTACACTTTTAGTGCTTGTTTGAGCTCATTTTTATTCTAAGAATGCATTTTTGAAATAATAGATTGATGGAGAATGTATAGTTAAAAAATAAGGAAAAATTTTGAATTTGCATGTAATATAATTTTATTGAAAAATGCTTGATTGAAAAGAAGAGAGAAAAATGTATTTTAGAAATAATAGGGATCAAACGAGGGTTTAATATTGAGGAAATTACACAAAATCGGATTTTTAAAGATTCAATTTCAAAAATCAGACATTTTATTTTAAATATTAAATATTAATTGTATAATTTTCATCACAAACCCTAATCAATTTTATTTTAATTTTCCTCATCCTCCTCTTTTCTCACTATCTCTACCTTCTCTCATCTTCGTCACTCTCTCTTCTCCACTCTCCGATCTCCTCGCTCTTCGTCGACAGTCAGCCTCCACGCAGTAGCCCATTGTCGAGTCCAAATAGCCCATTCTCAAATTACAGCGGCCCAGATTGTCGGAAGCTCTGCAGATCTCGAGTAAGGCCATTCCTTCACTGTGAATGTCACTGAAGGCTCTACAGATTGCGGTTGCAACAACGTAGATCGCAGTGGTGATGGCACAGATTGTGGCTGCAACAACGCGATCGCGGTAACAATGGTTTTTTTTTTTTTAATTTGTTGGATGGGTGGCAGTAGTTTCCATGTTTTGGTGACTTTGGGGTGATGTGGTGGTGGTGGCACTGCTGGTGGTTATGGTGAGGTATTGACGATGATGATGGCACTGGAGGCAACGGTTCATGTAGTGGTGGCGTTGGTGGAGGTAGTCAAATTTTGTTGCTTGCGATTTGGTGTTTGGGCGGTGATTTTATTGATTTTTGGGCGGCGATTTTGTTGATTTTTGGGAGGTGATATGGTGTTTGGGCGACAGTTTTGGATCTTGTTGGTGCGGTGGTGACGATAGTTTTGTTGGTGGTAGTGGTGACGAGGTGGTGGTGTCAGTGGATTTGAAGTTGAAAATTTGTTAGAGGTGGTCGACGACGATGATGGTAGGGGATTTTTATTGGTTGTAGGATGGGGGTGGAGGTGGTGGTGGTTCAACGACGGGGTTTCAGTTGCCATGCTGTTGGTGGCGGTCCGACGACGAGGTAGTCACAAGCGTTGGTTAGGGGTGTAAAAATAGGCGGGCCGGGGCAGACGTAGAAACCTCGGGTATAGCCCGGGTATTAATATACCAGGCCCGTGCGGGCTTTCTGGGCCGGTCCGGCCCGAACCGAGGTGGGGAAGGGCTGTCCCGGGTCGGACCGCAAGCCCGCAGGGGCCGGGTTGGCCCGTCGGCCTATTAGGTTCCGATTTTTTTTTTCAAAAATAAATGGTAAAAATAATTATAGTGAAAACCGATAAAAGTTACATAAAAATAAATTTTACATTGATTTATTTTTCGATAAATTTTACATCAATAACTAAATAATAAAAAAAACTTACAATTTTTCGAACAATATTTTGCCTAACTTGACAAATTAAACAGTTTTTAACTATTTATAAACTTATAGTTAAAATACATCC